ACTTGTGCACGCCCCCTACCTTGAAATCAGGATGATGTTTATAAACGTGATTCTGCGCACAGGTGCCGCCTTGCCGCAGTATATGTACTGTGGGCGGTCCCCCAGTGGTTAAGAAGAACTGATTTCCCCTTTGGTGTACCTCCTCAGACCTCAGATGAATCATTCCTCCTTCACCAGGCTGTTCTGCGGGTATCCCTTGTCAAGAGATTTCAAGATCTGCAATTAAGTAGTAGATGAGAACTAGTTGGGTATTGCACCTGATTGTCCTCTCCCTTCTCTGGCCCAGCGGGAGTAGAAGTACTCACACTGTTCTGCCCTGTTAGATTACTGGGTTGTAGTTGCTTTCAGACCTTACCCTGGGCTGGCTCCTTCCCTGCTGACAGGATGTCCTCCCTAGGAGACTTGTAGCACAGTGGAGATCCTTCCATCTAGCTAGGTACCCCTCCCTAAGGGCCCCCTCCCAGGCTCCACACTCCAACACCTTTTCTCAGTTAATTTTCCACATGACTCCCCTGCTGCACAGGCTCTGCCACATTTAAGAATTGCTCATAGCCCGGTCTCCTGCCTGGGGATTGGCCAAGTTCCCTTAAACATGCAAATCTGGGCCTCCACCCCTTTTCCAGAAAGTTTCAGCAGACTCCGGGAGCCCTGACCTGTAAAGCCTCCCAGTCTCTCCTGAGGTGACCTCTCTACCTTACCCCCAGGCGGATTCATCCCAGGCTTCTAGCAAGCCTCTGACTCACAAAAATCCTATCTAGCTAAACTAGAGGGCGCTACATCTGCAACAGAAGTAAGCATGATTATATATTATCTTATGTTTTCCTTCTTTTGTTTATACAATGTTTTTATTTGAGAAAGGTAGTTTTGCAATCATTTTTAGAGAACACTTAAACAGTTCAAGACTATGATCTTAAGATTCCTCCATGATGTCCTGTGGCAAGAGAACATCAATCTACAACGTCTTTCACAGTAGGGAGCATGCAACTGTGTGAGCTCCTACCTGTGAGACTGTATTTTTGCTGACTCCTGGTCCTGATTCATACTATCAATCAGAAATCGGGGCTTATTCATACCATGTGCAGTGGTGACCTGTGTTAATCTGCTCACCACAAGAATAAATGGAAATCAATTGTTTTCTTATTACCCTTGTTTCCACAGCAGCATAAACAAAAAGAAAAACGGTAAATGGTACCTTGCATTGTAACAATGCAAGGCACTGCCCATCACCACAGCTATAACAAGGGGTCCAAACAGGTGGAAATCACTTGGAGCAAGGTCCGGGCTGTAAGGGCGATGTGACAATACCTCCCAGCCGAGTTTCTGTAATGTGCACGTAGTGTGGTGACCAGTATGAGCTTGTGTGTTCTCCTGGAGAAATAGGACGCCCTTAATGGTCAAACCAGGCCGTTTTTTTCGCAGACACGTATGCACATCACTCAGGACACAACAGCAATATTCACTGTTGATAGTGGCCACCATGGAGCAAAATATCCACATCAATAACGCCACGGTTGTCCCAAACAATACTTGCCATCACTTTACCTGCAGACTCAATTGTTCAAAATTTTTTTGGTGGTGGTGAGTCCACATTCTTCCACTGTTTTGTTCATAGGAATGAGTGCTGTGGGCTGGGAACCACTATGACCGGGATTGACATTGGCGGGCGTAGAGCCATCTTTGAAACGTTTACACTAGGGATGCACTGATACCAGTTTTTTATTGGCGAGTACTACTGATACTTTTGTCAAGTACTCGCCAATAGCAAGTACCAATACTTTGCGGTGCAATTTGCATTAATGGGTGCAAATTGCACCACAAAGAATAGCATGCAATTTGAACAGGAATGCGATTCCCGTCCAAATCACATGCAGTTTCCCCACTGCTCTTGTGTGTACCCAGGCATCTCCTAACTCGAGTTTAGACAGAGTGGTGCGGGAAAGCTGCCTGCAGCCATCCCATGCTGAGTGTCAGTGGTAGGAGAGGAGAGAAGGCGGTGGAGAGTTGAAATCCCTGCCACTTTCTTACCTCCACTTGCAGCGATGACAGTTCAGGCTAGACGACATCTGATTGGTCAGCTGCTGTTGAAAAGATCAGTAGTTGATTTACTAACTGCAAATAGGCTGTTCACTTTGCAAAGGAAGTTGCACTCTGCAGGGGAAATTTTCCCCAGAGCTTAGTAAAAGTGGTGAAATTTCACTTTGCAAGGGATACCCAATCATGCACAAGGAAAATAGAAAAAAAAGCGTTTTTGCTTGCACATGATTGGATGATGGACATCAACAGAGCTTCACTCCATTTACTAAGCTCTGGGGATAATTTGTTTGCACAGGATAATGTCCATTGGAAAATGAACAGGCTGTTTGCCTTTAATAAACCAACCCAATTATGTCCAATTTTAAATATATTTGGGACCCCTTATGAAAAAATGTGCTTCCTGCCTGCCTGCATACTTCAATAGGCGCTTTGTTCATCTAGAACAGTAGTGCTCTATGCTCTAACTTAATCAGTGGATTGACCTGCCCCAAAGCTACACTTTCTGACACTTTACCTTACATTGACCAATGTTACTATATTCCTTTTCCTTCATTTTTCTACATGAATACTGCTGCAGCCCTACCTAGATATAAGACCTCCATTACGCTACCTATGCAGCTCAAACTTTTTTTTTTCTTGAACACTCTTTATTTATAAAGCTTTTTCACAGAAAAAACATACAACAATAAGGCAAGTAGGTGGATGCCGCCATAGAAGACAACGAACCAGGTTTAGTCCAGATACATATGCAGCTCAAACTTTTATGTGGTCTACGTTGTGCAGTTCTTCAACCAATGTTCTACAATTGCACACTTGAAACCATTGTACCTTTAAAGACTCTTTCAATATAAAGACTGAACAGAAAACAAGGGGTGCAATATGGTCTTTGTTGAATCTCAGTACCAATTGTAGATAGCATCTTGTATTATCTTCCATCCTCAATAATTCCACTCATTTTTATAGACACAGATAAATATTAAAACCATTAACAAAATGCTGTTTTTGGATAGCATTCTCCAAGTAGGTCTACACGGATATCTTATTTCTCATGAGGAGGCTTCTATTTATTTATTACGAGTACTTATTAAGCTCTGCCAATTTATGCAGCACTTTACATATATATTGTACATTCACATCAGTGCCTAACCCACAAGGAGCATACAATCTAAGGTCCCTAACTCACATTCATACATATTCTAGGGCCTATTTAGACAGGAGCCAATTAACCTACCAGCATGTCTGTCAGGAATGGACTGGCCAGCAATGGTGGGACTCACCTGCCTTTTGATCTGCAGTACCAGGGCTGGCCAGCGGGTGCTCCCAGCAATCAGAGACTCAACCTGTCAGCCAGCTAACACCTGGAACTGATTATACTGGTGTATTTAAGGGATGGCCAGACCTGCAGACTCTGCCTTGGTGTTGTGTTTGTCCTGGGCCCTGTATCTGTCCTGCATCCTGTTTCTGTTCCTTTGCTGACCCTGCCTGATCTGAACCGCTGCTGACTTCTCCTGCTCTGATCCCGGCTCGCTCCTGACCATCCCTCTGCCTGACCCTCTGTACCACGCTGCTTGCTACCTGTTCTGATCCCTGGCTTGTGACCCTGACCATCCCTCTGCCTGACCCTCTGTACTACGCTGCTTGCTACCTGCTGAACCTGGCCTGTGACCCCGACCAATCTCCGCTTGCTCCCCCTGTACCTACCTGCCCTATTGATATTGACCCGGCCTGCCTGACGACGCTTGCTTGTATGTACTGTTATCTGTGGGTGGTTGGTTTGGTTTGTTTGCACTGTATTATGTTTAGTATTGCACTGCGTTTATGTTTGTATTGTTAGTGTTAATAAATTATATTGTTTATCACATATCTGAAGTCTGCGTTTCCCTGCGTCAGTCACACACCTCTGGTCATACCCAGGAGCCCTGACAATGTCTTTGGAGAGTGGAAGGAAACTAGAGTGCTGGGAGGAAACTCACTCAGGCACAAGGAGAACATGCAAACTCCATGCAGGTAGTGCCGAGACTGGGATTTGCACCAATGACCCTAGTGCTGCCAGGCGGAAGTGCTAACCACTCAGCCACTGTGCTGCCCCACCGTTACAGTAGTTAAATTGTTTTTCTTAAAAGTATGAATAATGACATTAATCGTAATTAATAATAACATAATATTAGTAAAACAACCTGAAATATAATATAATGTTATTCCCTAGTAAAAAAAAAACAAAGAAAGTATGTAAACAAATAAACAAAAAACCCATTGAACTTTTGTTTGTGATTATGATAGTGTAATTACAAGTGCTTTCCTCATAAGCTGGAGAGATGCTGGTACCTATGGTGCCTACTGCATCATAAATTTTTTTTAATTTTAAAAAGCTACTTTTGCAGTGTTCTGTTGTTTTAACAATACAATCCACAACGAAGGAACAAACCTTCAAAAATTAAGGGACTTTAAAGGCACTGTGCCTAAAGAATCAAATATTTGTTAAAAATACACATAACTTATTGAAGTCCATTAAAAAGGTGGACAATAGATACCACCCAATGCTTACATTGTAACATAGAATTATAAAGTATTAAACATTAAAATCACATAATTAGGCATAATATGGTGGTATATATTGTCCACCTTTTTAATGGACTTCTATAAATTAAATGTATTTTAACAAATGTGTGATGCCTTTAAAGTCCCTTCATTTTTGAAGGTTTGTTCCTCCGTTGTGGATTGTTTGGTTCTTTGGGATGTGGCACTGTGCGCCTATTCCCTGAGATGTAGGTCATTTAACTTTTTTGGCCGTTGTTTTGACAATACATTTTTTTTCATAGTAAAACACCATATTAAATGTAAAACACGATATATGTTAAGTCCATAGATTCTCATACTGACCCCAGTCCCAATTGTTGGTGAGCTGCAAGCATATTATGACAATTACATGCAGTAGTACTGTAACTGGAGAAAGAAAAGAGTCTTACCCTCCTGTCAGAATGTTGTGCTTTTTCTTTCTTTGCGGTGTTGTGTCTCTGCTTTTTCCAAACTTCTGCTGTCTATGTTGCTCGGTTAAGCAATGCAGTAAAACAGATTTTCTGTGAGTCAGGGGCCAAGAATGTCTTGGATTATCCAAATTCACAGGGAATACAATGAATGCATGACATGGGCAAGAGGTTCTAATACACAAGAGGGAAAATGATTACATCAAACCTAAAGCTTATAAAAACCTTTTAAAGGCGCTGTAAGAAATAACTAATAGAAGTTAGAGAATAAAGGGGATGATATGTTCATTTACGCCCATTTATTTTGTTGATGAGCAGCGATGATCTGCAATTTGCAATTGCTGTAAACCATAACAATGAATACAGATAGTAGCACTGAGATGCTTCCAGACTATTTTGGGATGCTACGCTGCATATATTGCTCTTTGCCCTTTTTTAATAGCTGAAGATTTTTGTGATCCTGTTTACAACTTTTAGGTGAGTATTAAATAAATGCATAGCGATTCACCCAGGGAATGTGAATGTTGTTAGCAGGGGCGGACTGACAACTCATGGGGCCCCCGGGCAATAGGGGATCATGGGGCCCCTGTATCCTTGCCCAAACTCAAAAAAGCCTATGATAAAGGTACCAGGGGCATCTCATGGGGCCCCCTACTGACCCCGGGCCCTCGGGCAGTGCCTGAGTTTCCAAATGGTCAGTCTGCCCCTGGTTGTTAGGCTATTTCCTGTGTTGGTGGTATGTTTTTGATTTAAAATAGAAAATACTGCAATTGGCCACTAGATAGCACTAAGGCTGGCCATACATTATACATTTTTCTTGTACAATTTTTCTTTAGATTTACCAAAACTAAAGGTCAAACCTAAACATTTCCAATCTGCGTGCAGTTGGGCAGACTCTTGCACTACATACAGTATTTGACGGTAATTGAACTAGAAAATTGTATAATTTACGGGCAGCTTAAAGTGGAGCTCCAAATAAAAGGAGATGTTCTGCTTTAAGGACTGGTCCCCTGCTCCCCATTAAAGATTGGCACCTTTGAGGAGCAGGGGGAGAATGGGTACCCGTTATTGACAGGTACCTGCTCCCATTTCCGCTGCGAAGTTGTCCTCCCCCCTCCCTCCTGTAGTCTTCTGGGACACGTAGAAGACTACGGGACCATTCACAAAGCACAGTGCTACTTGTGCATGCGCAGTGAGAACCTGGCTGGGAAGCCGCAAGCTGTCACAGCCGGGTGCCCACACTGAAGATACGGGCACCAGGAACACAGGGTGGCCGGTGAAACAGGCTGCGGGGAGGACACCGTGGGATCGAGGGACAGGTAAGTGACCATTTTTTAAAAGTCAGCAGCTACAGTTTTTGTAGCTGCTGACTTTTATTTTTTTTTTATTTTCATTGGAACTCCACTTTAAGTATCATAGATGTCCCTCAAATTCTAAGAGAATGTTGCCTCCCCCCATTTACGTGTGTGTGTGTGTGTGTGTGAGTATCTGGGGGCCCCTTTTTATTTAAAAGGCTTCCAGATTCCCATAAGCAGACCTGCAGACCCCCACAAGCACTGGTAATCCTCACTTGAGAGGTACCTCTCCATGTTGAGGGCATATGGCCTGGTTTTGTTCAGAAGGAAGGAAGCTGCATGATGGCCAGCCAGGCTGCAGTCTCTGATACGGATCTGGTATGGGTTTTTTTTTAATCATGCATTCTTTTTTTGTGGGGGGGGGGGGGGCTTCCAATGTGATTTTATCTGGGGGAGGGTACCGTTTTTTTTTTTTACACTATCCCTTTGTTTACTACAAAATTTTACCCAGCTGACAAGCTGAATATTTCGGAAGAAAGGTAAGTCACTGGTTCTTAGCATGTAGGTGGGTACAGTCCTGAGCAGGAAACTGTCACATTTAGCCATGGCAATAATAATAATGTAATCATTTTTCACTTCAAACTGCAAGCAACTGTAGGTTTGCTCGGCCAAACACCCATTAGTTCAGCTGTTTGCACTAGAATCTTCATAGGCTGTGCAAACTGTACATTTTTTACATCTCCCTCATATTATTTCCTCTTCTGGTCAAATGTTCTAATTCTATAGTGTCAGGCTATTTTCTGTCTTTGTGAATGTTGTTTAACTCTTATGGTCACATTTTCTTATGGCCATTTTCTCTTAGGATGAGTGAATGCTACATTCCATGGCAAAAGGCAACAAACTGAAACTGACATTACACACATATTACAAACATTACCGGTATTATTTGTTACTTTTCTGTAAATGACCAGACATTCGCACAGCACATTTTGTTTTATAAATAGACCCCTAAGATTAATACTCATTTGCAATTTCTTAGTTTACTAAGTGGTTAAATGCTCCAACATCTTGTCACATTACAGAGGCCAACACACATGTTGGTGCCTCAAATGTTAGACTTGTTCCTGATTATATTTGACCTGATTGCTGATTCCAAAAATGGCACCAATTATTCCCTACCAGCTCTAGTTTTTGATATATAAAATAATGTCATATACCACTCTTCACTCTGGTAGCCCATCAACAATCAGGATATTTTAATGTAGCATTTTATTTAATCTCCTTGTAGCATGAAAGAAACATAAAATGTCACCATAACCTATGGTGATGGATCTGCAAAAATGTAAAGCTATGAGTGAAATAAACACACACCTCCTATATGATCATAACTATAATAGTGTAAGCCCTGGTTCACACTGATGCGGTACGGAATTCACAGCACCAGTGTAATAACTTACACTTTAACATACAATGTTTCCGATGTAAAATGACAGTTGGAAATATATAAACACTCACTATATCTTCTAATTTGTACGCCAAAACACAAACTAGGTAACAGAAGAACAAATTCATCAGCAAGATCTTTTCAAAAACGGAGTAAAAATTATAAAAATTCAACCATATCTAAGAAGCTAGAGCTGGTGCAGTCTAGTGAATGTAATTTAATGTAAACATCACAAATAACCCCAAGAACAGGTCTAAAAAGCAAGGCACCAAGAAAAAAGATTTTTTTTTTTGTTGAGCTGTGTAATCATTGGCTAATAGGAGCCTCATGAATGTACATGCTAATGCAAAACAACAATGGGAGTTTACATAACATTACTTGCTCAATTACAACCAAACACTTTGCGCATAGGCCAGTACCAAAAATACATGCTGGGGATATTTACTAAAACCGGTGCATCTGGTGCAGCTGTGCAAAGTAACCAATCAGCTTTTAGGTTTTAGTACCAAAACTAAATTGAACAACCCTATGTTTGAAGCTTACTGGTTATTGGCACAGCTACTCCAGATCCTGTGTACACCAGTTTTAGACTCCATGTACACGGGACGTTTGGAAAACTCTTCTGAACGATGGAAACTGACTGCTGGAAAACGTAGGTTAAAAAACGTCTGTTTAGCCGCGTTTGCATACCGCATTTATGCGTGTTTATGAGCGTTTGCGTTTAGAAATGTTTTTTAAAGATAACTTCAGGAGACCTTCCAAAATGCCCAGAAAGCACTGAAAAACAGTAAAATATTAACTATTTCAGACATTTTGAGAGAAATAGAGAGAGCAGAAGCAGAGAGAGCAGTATGTGTTGAGATTGCCTGTCTCTTCTGGTTGTATTCACTCTGGATCCCATCACGAGCATAATGCAGCACGTTCTACCATTTTTTCCTTCACGCAAAACCTGGAACTGACTGTGCTGGTATACTAGGTCCATTTAAATACATGGAAAGCACTTTGCATGCATTTCTGATGATGAAAAAAGCATCTGGACCAGGGGCGGACTGACAACTCATGGGGCCCCCGGGCAATAGGGGAGAATGGGGCCCCTGTGTCCTTGCCCAAACTCAAAAAAGCCTATAAAAAAGGTACATCTCATGGGGCCCCCTACTGACCCCGGGCCCTCGGGCAGTGGTGCGAGTTTCCAAATGGTCAGTCCGCCCCTGCTCTGGACAGCATCTGGATATGGAACAGTTAAAAAATGCTTCTACGTGCAAACGCTTTTAAATGTAGTTAGCTGCGTTTACACACATTTTCAAGCATTTGGCGTTTGAAACACCCGGTAAAATCTACTCCTGAACACAAGTTGGAGCATTCAAAAAAACTACTGTAAACTCAACTGCCTGTAAACGGCTATGTGTACATGGACACATAGGAAAACATTAGGGAGAGTTCAGGGGCTGCTAAAAAAAATGCAGTAAAGCTCGTGAATGTCAGTTTATCAGCTGCAGTGTACATGAGCCCTTAGTAGAATCTCCCCCACTGTGCCCTCATAACTAAGCTGTGGGGATGTGAACACCCAGAGTAAGTGTTGGCTTACATTGACATCTAGTGGTGATGTTGAACATTGCACTTGTGTTACCAAACTATTTTTTTTCACTGTGAAAATGAGGTTTCCAGTGATGAGAAAAATGAACATATGAAACTTCATGTTATTACATTATAATTGTGTATAATAATTTTGTATATATAGTCTTAGTTTCTTTATTATTTTCAAAATAAACACATTTTTAACATTTATTTTACAACTGACTTACAACTGGCTGCCAGGCAAATATAAATAATTGCCAAGGAATACAGTTATATAATAATTAAAATATTAAGTGCATCAGTCTGTGGTTGCTTCTTTACTGTTCAGTCAGGATTTCAGGGCAGGAATGCTTTTTTCTCTTTCAGTAATTGTTTATTGAAAACAAGTTTTTCAAGACAGTGTGGTACAGGATCCAACAAAATAAATGACAGATACCCACTACATTTCTTTAATCATCAAGACAGGATCCTTCCCTCCAATCCTCACTCTGCAGCAGGACAGCATCATGGAGATGATGACTAGAGATGAGCGAAGTATTCAAAAATTCGATTCGACTGATTCGGCGAATTCGTGGACAATATTCGATTCGAGTCAAATATATTCTCTGTGAATTTAACTTAAAAAAGGGTGTTTCTAGGCTTCAGAGAGACTTAATATTAGTGCAGAACACTGTACCTTTAATTTAAATGCCCTTGGAGTCTGCTGGGGAAGAGAAATAATACTGTCAGTCAGTATGACATGCAGATGAGTGCCGTCGATCTTAGAATCACCGCACACTTCACTCATTTGGCCAGTCACGGGGCCAAAACCAGTGTTTGGAGCCACAGTGTGGCGGTGGAGGCAGCAGCAATGGGAGGCCATACAGCAACCTATGACAAAATGGAAACCAGCAGGAGTGTGAGGAGACCTCAAAGTGGCACATGGCAGAGTGGGAGCAATGGGAGGCGGTACAGGGACCCATGTCACACTGTGGACCCCAGCAGCAGTGTGACCAGGCGGTACGGGGGCCCATGGCAGATTACAGGCCTGGCAGCAGCAATGGGAGGCCCGTAATCTGCCAGCACCCTATGACAAAAAAATGGAACACACCAGCAGTGTGAGGAGACCTGAAAGTGGCACATGGCAGAGTGTGGCGATGGAGACAGCAGCAATGGGAGGCCGTACAGGGACCCATGAGAGACTCTGGACCTGGCAGCAGCATGAGGAGGCGGTATAGGGGCCCATGGCAGATTAGGGGCCTGGCAGCAGCTATGGGAGTCCCGTAATCTGCCAGCACCCTATGACAAAAAATTCAACACACCAGCAGTGTGTGAGGAGACCTGAAAGTGGCACATGGCAGAGTGTGGCGATGGAGACAGCAGCAATGGGAGGCCGTACAGGGACCCATGACAGACTCTGGACCTGGCAGCAGCATGAGGAGGTGGTATATAGGGGCCCATGGCAGATTAGGGGCCTGGCAGCAGCTATGGGAGGCCCGTAATCTGCCAGCACCCTATGTCAAAAAATTCAACACACCAGCAGTGTGTGAGGAGACCTGAAAGTGGCACATGGCAGAGTGTGGCGATGGAGACAGCAGCAATGGGAGGCCGTACAGGGACCCATGACAGACTCTGGACCTGGCAGCAGCATGAGGAGGCGGTATATAGGGGCCCATGGCAGATTAGGGGCCTGGCAGCAGCTATGGGAGGCCCGTAATCTGCCAGCACCCTATGTCAAAAAATTCAACACACCAGCAGTGTGTGAGGAGACCTGAAAGTGGCACATGGCAGAGTGTGGCGATGGAGACAGCAGCAATGGGAGAGGCCGTACAGGGACCCATGACAGACTCTGGACCTGGCAGCAGCATGAGGAGGCGGTATATAGGGGCCCATGGCAGATTAGGGGCCTGGCAGCAGCTATGGGAGGCCCGTAATCTGCCAGCACCCTATGTCAAAAAATTCAACACACCAGCAGTGTGAGGAGACCTGAAAGTGGCACATGTTTGGGGCATGATTCATGGCGGATTTAGTCAGTTGTGTCAGGAACTGGTGGTTTGAAATCCAGACTAATCCACGCCTGATTCATTTTCACAAACGTGAGTCTCTCCACACTTTGGGTGGACAGTCGTGTCCTCCGCGGAGTTGCAATACCTCCTGCCGCACTAAACACGCGCTCCGATGCCACGCTACTGGCCGGGCATGACAGCCTTTCAAGGGCAAATTCAGCTAGTTGGGGCCAAAGGTCAAGTTTCGTTGCCCAGTAGTCAAGGGGATTGTCTACCTCGGTTGGCAGGGTGCTGTCCAAGTAGGCCTAAGCCTGTTGTTTGAGGTCCTGCTCCAGGTCCACCTGATGCTGCTGCTGCTGCGGCTGGTTATTAGTTTCCTCACTGCGCTGGTGAAAAAGCTACTCATCATCGACTGCAGACTGAGGCAGCTGCTGCTGGTGGAGCTGCCACTGCTCCTACCACCCCACCCCTCCCCTGCTGCCATGGCAGCGTAACGCGAGCGCACAGGGCCCACAGTGTCTGAGGATGGACGTTGGCGCAGACAGGCAGAGACCAGCTGACTACATAGGTGGTTTTTATAGTACGTTATTTTGCCTCCCTCTCAGCAGGTGTGAAAAAGGCCACCATTTTGAACGGTAGCGAGGGTCCAACAAGGTGGACAGCCAAAAGTCATCCCTCTGTCTGATGGTTATTATTCGGCTGTCGGTACGCAAGCAAGCGAGCATGCTATGGGCCATTTGTGCCAAGGAATGCGAGGGACTCCCTGCCTCCATCTCCACAGCATACTGCCACGGTGCGTCTGGGTCCTCTGTCTCCTCTTCCTCCCTCCTCTACCAGATGCTCCTGCTCCTCCACTCCTGTCCGCTGAGTGGAAAAACCACCCATTTCACTCAATAATTCCTGAGCACCAATGTCCTCCTCTACCTCCTCCTCTTCTTCCTGTCCTGCCCCCACAGGGGTCATGTGGCGTTGAGATCTGTGCGCCACGTCTACCGCACCCTGACCAGCCATTATTAACAGCATTTGTTCCAGGACGTGCAACAGAGGAATGACGTCGTTCATCCCATAGTCCTGCCGACTCACGAATAGCGTGGCCTCCTCAAAGGGCCTGAGCAAGCGCAGGTGTCACGCATGAGCTGCCAATGGCTGACATCTAAGTTACACAGGGAGTACCTTTATCCGCTTTTAACATCAGGAAATCTGTGATGGCCTTTTGCTGTTCGTAAAGGCGGTCTAACATATGTAGGGTTGAATTCCACCTTGTTGCAACGTCACAGCATGAGGAGTCGGTACGGGGGCCCATGGCAGATTACGGGCCTGGCAGCAGCAATGGGAGGCCCGTAATCTGCCAGCACCCTATGTCAAAAAATTCAACACACCAGCAGTGTGTGAGGAGACCTGAAAGTGGCACATGGCAGAGTGTGGCGATGGAGACAGCAGCAATGGGAGGCCGTACAGGGACCCATGACAGACTCTGGACCTGGCAGCAGCATGAGGAGGCGGTATATAGGGGCCCATGGCAGATTAGGGGCCTGGCAGCAGCTATGGGAGGCCCGTAATCTGCCAGCACCCTATGTCAAAAAATTCAACACACCAGCAGTGTGAGGAGACACATGGCAGAGTGTGGCGAAGTGGCACAGCAATGGGGCACAGGAGAGACTGTGGACCTGGCAGCAGCATGAGGAGGCGGTACAGGGGCCCATGGCAGATTAGGGGCCTGGCAGCAGCTATGGGAGGCCCGTAATCTGCCAGCACCCTATGTCAAAAAATTCAACACACCAGCAGTGTGTGAGGAGACCTGAAAGTGGCACATGGCAGAGTGTGGCGATGGAGACAGCAGCAATGGGAGGCCGTACAGGGACCCATGAGAGACTCTGGACCTGGCAGCAGCATGAGGAGGCGGTATAGGGGCCCATGGCAGATTAGGGGCCTGGCAGCAGCTATGGGAGGCCCGTAATCTGCCAGCACCCTATGTCAAAAAATTCAAACACCAGCAGTGTGTGAGGAGACCTGAAAGTGGCACATGGCAGAGTGTGGCGATGGAGACAGCAGCAATGGGAGGCCGTACAGGGACCCATGAGAGACTCTGGACCTGGCAGCAGCATGAGGAGGCGGTATAGGGGCCCATGGCAGATTAGGGGCCTGGCAGCAGCTATGGGAGGCCCGTAATCTGCCAGCACCCTATGTCAAAAAATTCAACACACCAGCAGTGTGAGGAGACCTGAAAGTGGCACATGGCAGAGTGAGAGACAGCAATGTGGGACCCATGACAGCACCTGGCAGCAGCAGCATGAGGAGGCGGTACAGGGGCCCATGGCAGATTAGGGGCCTGGCAGCAGCTATGGGAGGAGGCCGTAATCTGCCAGCACCCTATGTCAAAAAATTCAACACACCAGCAGTGTGAGGAGACCTGAAAGTGGCACATGGCATGGCAGAGTGTGGCGATGGAGACAGCAGCAATGGGAGGCCGTACAGGGCCCATGACAGACTCTGGACCTGGCAGCAGCATGAGGAGGCGGTATATAGGTGCCCATGGCAGATTAGGGGCCTGGCAGCAGCTATGGGAGGCCCGTAATCTGCCAGCACCCTATGTCAAAAAATGGACACACCAGCAGTGTGAGGAGACACACCAGCAGTGTGTGGCGAGGAGACCTGAAAGTGGCCGTACATGGCATGAGAGACTGTGGACCTGGCAGCAGCATGAGGAGGCGGTACAGGGGCCCATGGCAGATTAGGGGCCTGGCAGCAGCTATGGGAGGGCCCGTAATCTGCCAGCACCCTATGTCAAAAAATTCAACACACCAGCAGTGTGTGAGGAGACCTGAAAGTGGCACATGGCAGAGTGTGGCGATGGAGACAGCAGCAATGGGAGGCCGTACAGGGACCCATGAGAGACTCTGGACCTGGCAGCAGCATGAGGAGGCGGTATAGGGGCCCATGGCAGATTAGGGGCCTGGCAGCAGCTATGGGAGGCCCGTAATCTGCCAGCACCCCTATGTCAAAAAATTCAACACACCAGCAGTGTGTGAGGAGACCTGAAAGTGGCACATGGCAGAGTGTGGCGATGGAGACAGCAGCAATGGGAGGCCGTACAGGGACCCATGAGAGACTCTGGACCTGGCAGCAGCATGAGGAGGCGGTATAGGGGCCCATGGCAGATTAGGGGCCTGGCAGCAGCTATGGGAGGCCCGTAATCTGCCAGCACCCTATGTCAAAAAATTCAACACACCAGCAGTGTGAGAGGAGACCTGAAAGTGGCACATGGCATGTGGCGATGAGACAGTGGAATGGGAGGCCGTACTGGACCCATGAGCAGGACCTGGCAGCAGCATGAGGAGGCGGTATATAGGGGCCCATGGCAGATTAGGGGCCTGGCAGCAGCTATGGGAGGCCCGTAATCTGCCAGCACCCTATGTCAAAAAATTCAACACACCAGCAGTGTGAAGAGACCTGAATGTGGCACATGGCAGAGTGTGGCGATGGAGACAGCAGCAATGGGAGGCCGTACAGGGACCCATAGACTCTGGACCTGGCAGCAGCATGAGGAGGCGGTATATAGGGGCCCATGGCAGATTAGGGGCCTGGCAGCAGCTATGGGAGGCCCGTAATCTGCCAGCACCCTATGACAAAAAATGGAACACACCAGCAGTGTGTGAGGAGACCTGAAATTGGCACATGGCAGAGTGTGGCGATGGAGACAACCCACCGACTGTTTTGCTCGCTGCCAAGCTGCCACCCTCTTCTCCTGATGATGCGGAAGCAATAGCCTGATGACGACGAGGCTGCCAAGTGCGATCAGCCTCATCATCATCAATTAGGGTCTCCGCCTCACTACTAGCCCCCTCGCTGCGTGCGTGTGGGTCAGGAGACAGACCTGTCTCTAGACCGGCTACCGAGCCACTCTCCTCGCCACTACTTCTTCTTCGCCTGGCTGCTGAAGAGGCGGATGTCTCCCCCCGTTCCTGACCGCCCTCTGTTAGCTCTTCCTCACTGTACTGGATGACACCGGGAGACTAGCCTCTGGCTGCGAATAGTGCTGCCTCGACCCCTTCCTCTGCTGCCACGTCTGCTCGCTCCTAAAACATTGCCTCCTCTGCCACTCCTCTGCATGTTGTCTGACATACTCTTTAATTAAACGATTCTGTGTCCCTGAGTAACAATTCTGTGTCCCTGAGTAACTGTGTCCCCCTGAGTAACGTTTCTGTGGCCCTAAGTAACAGTTCTGTGGCCCTAAGTAACAGTTCTGTGGCCCTCAGTAACAATTCTGTGTCCCTCAGTAACAATTCTGTGTCCCCCTCAGTAACAATTCTGTGTCTGTCCCTGAGTAACAATTCTGTGTCTGTCCCTGAGTAACAATTCTGTGTCCCTGAGTAACATTTCTGTGGCCCTGAGTAACATTTCTGTGGCCCTCCAGTAACAATTCTGTGTCCCTGAGTAACAATTCTGTGTCTGTCCCTGAGTAACAATTCTGTGTCCCCTCAGTAACAATTCTGTGTCCCTCAGTAACAATTCTGTGTGTCCCTCAGTAACAATTCTGTGTCCCTCAGTAACAATTCTGTGTCCCTGAGTAACAATTCTGTGTCCCCCTGAGTAACAATTCTGTGTCTGTCCCTGAGTAACGTTTCTGTGGCCCTAAGTAACGGTTCTGTGGCCCCTCAGTAACAATTCTGTGTCCCTGAGTAACAATTCTGTGTCTGTCCTGAGTAACAATTCTGTGGCCCTAAGTAACGGTTCTGTGGCCCTCAGTAACAATTCTGTGTCCCTGAGTAACAATTCTGTGGCCCTAAGTAACGGTTCTGTGGCCCTCAGTAACAATTCTGTGTCTGTCCCTGAGTAACAATTCTGTCTGTCTGTCCCTGAGTAACAATTCTGTGGCCCTAAGTAACGGTTCTGTGTGCCCTCAGTAACAATTCTGTGTCCCTCAGTAACAATTCTGTGTCTGTCCCTGAGTAACAATTCTGTGGCCCTAAGTAACAATTCTGTGGCCCTCAGTAACAATTCTGTGTCCCTGAGTAACGTGTCTGTGTGGCCCTCAGTAACAATTCTGTGTCCCTCAGTAACAATTCTGTGTCTGTCCTGAGTAACAATTCTGTGGCCCTAAGTAACAATTCTGTGGCCCTCAGTAACAATTCTGTGTCCCCTGAGTAACGTTCTGTGGCCCTAAGTAACAATTCTGTGGCCCTCAGTAACAATTCTGTGTCTGTCCCTGAGTAACAATTCTGTGGCCCTAAGTAACGGTTCTGTGTCCCTCAGTAACAATTCTGTGTCCCTGAGTAACGTTTCTGTGGCCCTAAGTAACAGTTCTGTGGCCCTAAGTAACAATTCTGTGTCCCTCAGTAACAATTCTGTGTCCCTCAGTAACAATTCTGTGTCTGTCCCTGAGTAACAATTCTGTGTCTGTCCCTGAGTAACAATTCTGTGGCCCTAAGTAACGGTTCTGTGGTGGCCCTCAGTAACAATTCTGTGTCTGTCCCTGAGTAACAATTCTGTGGCCCTAAGAAACGGTTCTGTGGCCCTCAGTAACAATTCTGTGTCCCTGAGTAACGTTTCTGTGGCCCTAAGTAACAATTCTGTGGCCCTCAGTAACAATTCTGTGTCTGTCCCTGAGTAACAATTCTGTGGCCCTAAGTAACGGTTCTGTGGCCCTCAGTAACAATTCTGTGTCCCTGAGTAACGTTTCTGTGGCCCTAAGTAACAGTTCTGTGGCCCTAAGTAACAATTCTGTGTCCCTCAGTAACAATTCTGTGTCCCTCAGTAACAATTCTGTGTCTGTCCCTGAGTAACAATTCTGTGTCTGTCCCTGAGTAACAATTCTGTGTCCCCCTGAGTAACAATTCTGTGTCCCCTGAGTAACAATTCTGTGGCCCTAAGTAACAATTTTCTGTGGCCCTCAGTAACAATTCTGTGTCTGTCCCTGAGTAACAATTCTGTGTCCCTGAGTAACAATTCTGTGTCCCTGAGTAACAATTCTGTGTCCCTCAGTAACAATTCTGTGTGTCCCTCAGTAAAAATTTCTGTGTCCCTCAGTAACAATTCTGTGTCCCTCAGTAACAATTCTGTGTCCCCTCAGTAACAATTCTGTGTCCCTGAGTAACAATTCTGTGTCCCTGAGTAACAATTCTGTGTCTGTCCCTGAGTAACGTTTCTGTGGCCCTAAGTAACGGTTCTGTGGCCCTCAGTAACAATTCTGTGTCCCTGAGTAACAATTCTGTGTCTGTCCCTGAGTAACAATTCTGTGGCCCTAAGTAACGGTTCTGTGGCCCTCAGTAACAATTCTGTGTCCCTCAGTAACAATTCTGTCTGTCCCTGAGTAACAATTCTGTGGCCCTAAGTAACGGTTCTGTGGCCCTCAGTAACAATTCTGTGTCCCTGAGTAACGTTTCTGTGGCCCTAAGTAACAATTCTGTTCTGTGGCCCTCAGTAACAATTCTGTGTCCCTGAGTAACAATTCTGTGTCCCTCAGTAACAATTCTGTGTCTGTCCCTGAGTAACAATTCTGTGGCCCTAACGTTTCTGTGGCCCTAAGTAACAGTTCTGTGGCCCTCAGTAACAATTCTGTGTCCCTGAGTAACGTTTCTGTGGCCCTAAGTAACAATTCTGTGGCCCTCAGTAACAATTCTGTGTGTCCCTGAGTAACAATTCTGTGGCCCTAAGTAACGGTTCTGTGGCCCTAAGTAACGGTTCTGTGGCCCTCAGTAACAATTCTGTGTCCCTGAGTAACAATTCTGTGGCCCTAAGTAACGGTTCTGTGGCCCTCAGTAACAATTCTGTGTCCCTGAGTAACGTTTCTGTGGCCCTAAGTAACGGTTCTGTGGCCCTCAGTAACAATTCTGTGTCCCCCTGAGTAACAATTCTGTGGCCCTAAGTAACAGTTCTGTGGCCCTCAGTAACAATTCTGTGTCCCTCAGTAACAATTCTGTGTCTGTCCCTGAGTAACAATTCTGTGGCCCTAACTAACGTTTCTGTGTCCCTAAGTAACAGTTCTGTGGCCCTCAGTAACAATTCTGTGTCCCTGAGTAACGTTTCTGTGGCCCTAAGTAACAATAATCTGTGGCCCTCAGTAACAATTCTGTGTCTGTCCCTGAGTAACAATTCTGTGGCCCTAAGTAACGGTTCTGTGGCCCTAAGTAACGGTTCTGTGGCCCTCAGTAACAATTCTGTGTCTGTCCCTGAGTAACAAATCTGTGGCCCTAAGTAACGGTTCTGTGGCCCTCAGTAACAATTCTGTGTCCCTGA